TTTTTTTTTTTTTTTTTTTGGTATTTTAAGGAAGGGTCTACAGGGTGTTCAGAGTCTCACTACTAGATCTACTTGTAGTGATCCGGTGGTTTATAGCCTCCCAAGAGCTGGGGTTACAGGCGCTCACCACCACGCCCAGTCTCAATTGCCATCTATGTGCGCCCTGGGGGCGTGGCTAGCATGGCAGGCCCAGGGATTGGTGTCTTAAATATCAAGCATATTAATAAATGTTTGCCATCTAATAGGAACAGCACAAAATGAGGGAACAAGGTATTCCTGGGCTCTCTCCACTTTACAGCTCATACTAATTTTTTAAAAATGTATTTCATTTAGTGTCTGTTAATTTTACAATGCATTGGATTTCAGTGGGGTATTTTTCATTCCTGACTATTAACATATTTTGATCATAACACTGACTTGAGAAGAAAGTACAGCTCATTAAATAAACAGCAGACAAATACGCTAGTATTCAAGTATGAGGGTGTGTGTGCTTGAGAAATTAAGAATGAAGTGGTAGCTATGGGAGTCGCAGGACTAGAGGGAGTGATTAAAACAACAATAAAAAAATATTGTCCCTTGTTACTGCCCAAATCAGCTCTCCAATGCATAGCTGTCTGCTCTATTCTGGCTAATTCTTTCTATGACACTAACGGTTCCACCAAGGGTTCTGTGCTCAGAGGTGGATAATTAGTATCCCCTGGGTACACTTGTAGTCCTCTGAAATCCCTTGAAACCTGTAGATCTTACTTCTAGCTTCCTCTGACTGACTACAGGCCACATGGCTGTTTCTCAGGAAGTCAGCCTAAGGAACTTTCCTTTCTGCTTTAGGGACTGGCTTTGGAGTAGGGAGTGTGATTAAGATTCTCCTTCCATCCATCTCCTGGTCCACTTATCTTTTTTGCCTTTTGCCTTTAACCCTGGCAGGTTTCATCTGGCAGCTTCCAAAGGCCTGACAGAGTGTCTGAGTATCCTGCTTGCGAATGGGGCTGACATCAACAGCAAGAACGAGGATGGTGAGTTACACGGAGTGCTTGACCTGTGCTGCTGTTGTCCCTTTACAGCAGCAGCGGGGGCCAGGGCTGGGCCTTGCCAGAGGGTACGAGCGTGGACACTTGCTCTTCTCCTCATAAGCCCTGGACAAGTGTCCCTCTCTGGGCTCTCTTCCCTGCAAGCTGGGCATGCCTCACCCCCACTCTCACTTTCACCACAGGAACCAGGTGCTTGGGGAACAGGATTTTCTGGCCCTGTGTGGCTGAGAGCTTCTCTCTCTGATCTCCCTCTGATTATCTCTGCGTCTCTGGCCTTCCCTCCCTGTGAGTCATCTGCGTGTGTGGGGCCACCCACCCTTCCTCTCTCCTTCTTTCTCTTTCCAGGAAGCACTGCCCTGCATTTGGCCACCATCTCCTGTCAGCCACAGTGTGTCAAGGTCCTGCTGCAGGTGAGAGCAGCCCCTGGATACCACTCCTACAAAGGGCAGAAATGGGCTCAGACTCTCCTAACTTGGAATTATAGTTACAAGCAATAGTTAGCCAAATGTACCCTTTTTATCCCCAGGAACAGACATCATGTTTAATGTTGCCTTTGAAGGAAATCACAAAGCAGAATTGCCAGGGACAGTTGGTTTCTGCCATTGGCAGAGACTTACAGTGACAGGCAGGTAGGGGAGAGGAGAGGGGTTTAGATTAAACCAAAGCCCTTCTGTCTGTTTTGAGGAGTTTATAGTCAAGTATCATAAAGAGATGTATACACATAAAATGATGTGGACAAAGTATAAAGAAATCTCTAAAGTATAAAAGGCACAGTTACCTCAATAGGCCATCAAGCATGTGTCTTACTTTCATTCTTCCTCACTCTTTCCAAATCTTACAGTTATTATTGTAAAGTACCAGCCACGAATTCCAATGTCATTTTCCTTAACATGCTTATTTCCTATTGTCTGATTTTTCTTAGGAACGAAATTCAAGGCTGTCATCATCTGTTGGGTGGGCTGGGTTTGCTGAGTAGTTGCCTCCCTAGAACCTTTGCTCTCCATTCTTCCTCATATTCCCATGCACATTGGTGGCCCAGCTAGGAGTAGGAGATAGGGTGTTCATGCCAGGCTTCACACTGCCTCCCTTTGTGACTGTTTGCAGCATGGTGCTAATGAAGATGCTGTGGATGCAGAAAACCGCAGTCCACTGCATTGGGCAGGTGTGTGCCAGGGACTGGTGAGGGCAGTGCTGCAGGGGTCCTGGGGTGGGGAAGGAGCAGGGCAGGAAGCACAGCCTGGGCCCCCTGCTGAAGGCCAGAGAAATGTGAGGTTATGGTCTGAGTAGGGGACTTTCATACTTGCTCCTAACCCAACCGCCTCCACCCTTCCCAGCCTCTTCTGGCTGTGCCTCAAGTGTGCTCCTGCTCTGTGACCACGAAGCTTTCCTGGACGTGCTGGATAACGTGAGTATCAGGTGGTCAGGTGGGCACTGCCCTGTAGGGGGAGGTTAGCTGATCTTTGGAGTTTGATTGGCTGAATTCTTTGACCTGAGGTTATGCAGTACTGCTCCCTCATTCTTTCTTCTTCCACTCTTCTTCCTCTTCCTTAAGAAGTTAAGCCTTATCTTTTGGAGAGCTTCTAATCTTCCAAAAGGAGTTATTTAGCTCTAAGAAACAGGCCCTACCCTTTTGTTGTTGTTGTTTTTGGAGAGGTGTTGAGAGAGTGTGTTGGTAGGGCTGTGTCAAGTCCCGGGTCCTCCCTGGATGCTCACAAGCCCCTTCCCACACTCTGTGCAGGATGGACGCACACCCCTGATGATCGCGTCACTGGGTGGTCATGCAGCTATCTGCTCCCAGCTTCTACAGAGAGGAGCCCGAGTCAATGTCTCAGACAAGGATGACAAGTGAGCCTTCCCGTCTTCCTACCCCAATTTGCAGACCCTGACAAGAGTACAAATGAGCCAGCGCGCAGCACGCACGTGTGTGCATTTGTGTGTGTGTTGAAGAAGAGAGCAAGCTGGTGTCTGTGTTCTTGGAAACTTCTTTTCTTCCCAGAGATGTTTTAGAAGGGCTCTGCCTGCTGTCTTCCTTGCATAGATGACCCCAATAGCAGAATGGATACCACTGGAGCCATTGGCTTAATTTACTGGTTTTCAAGCTATGCTCCAAACAATGAGATCCTTTTTCCCAATAAAAGCATGTGTAGAACCTTGATGCTATATAGAAAAGATTTAAAAATTGACTTTTTAATCCATTTTGATTGTTCCTCTGCTTTTTGCTGCTGTAGTTCCCTGGGATAAGATTTGAAAGGCTGTGTTTTGGCCCACTGCTTTGTCATTGGCCAGTGTTGATCTGCTGTCCTCACTCCACTGAGTCAGAGATTACCACCGGATGGAATTTCCACAACCAGAGTTCCTGGGTCCCGCGAGGAAGGCCTGTGCTCAGATTTGTCTCTCTCCACAGATCCGCTCTGATTCTGGCTTGTGAGAAAGGCAGTGCCGAGGTGGCTGAGCTCCTCCTGAGCCATGGCGCAGATGCAGGGGCGGTGGACAGCAGGGGGCACGACGCTCTGCATTACGCTCTGCGCACACAAGACCAAGTGCTCTGGAGGCTGCTGCGCCAGGCCCTGAATCGGAGGCGGCGAGGAGGTAAAAGCTCCTTTGTAATTTCAGGATTCCCTGCAATAATCAAAGAATTAAGAAAAATTCCTTCACACCTACTCAGGACACTGAAGCAGAGGGATTACAGGTTCAAGTCCAGTCTGGGTAACTTGTCTCAAAATAAAAAAAAAAAAATTATGTACGGTGATGCTTGCCTATAATCTCAGTACTCTGGGAGGCTAAGGCAGAAGGATCCCACATTTTAGCTCAGTGTGAGCAATTTAGTGACTTTGTTAAATCCAATCTCAAAAAAAATAGAGAGAAAATAAAAGGGACTGAGGATGTAGCTTAGTGTGAATGTTCTAGGTTCAATGTCCAGTACCAAATAAGAAATAAATAAAATAATATAAATTAAAATAAAATGGACTAGGGATGTGCCTGTCTGGCATGTGTGAGGCCTTTGGTTAAGTTTCTAGTAATGGCAAAATAGAGACCAAAAGCTAGTATTCCATTTGTTCCCATGAAGTTATCCATGGAACAAAGGATTGTCACCTTAGCTGAGTTTATTTATTCCTGCCACTATGAGATGACCTCAAACCCCTTCATGCAGCCTTGTCTCTCACTAAGGGTAACCCTGGCCAGGGCTACTGCCAGAATTTATGAGTCATAATTGTATATCATTGGTGTGATTTGTAGGCCAGTCTTCCTTACTAGACCTAAGCCCTCAGGGGACAGGCCAGTTCCATTTGATTCACCATGGAAGTCCTAGCACTTGGAACAATGCCAATAAATGCATAGTGAACAGAAGGAAAGAGTGATCTCTGAGAAAGGACAGTGGTGTTGCGGTATAGCCAGGGATTTGTTGAATAAGTGTAGCTCCAGCCACCAGGAAGATGTGTGGTGAAGCTATCACACTGTAGAGCTGCTCTTCTCAGAGAGAGTCTGGAGATCGTGTATGGGCTGGAAGTGCACGTGGCCTGTCTTCTCTGTCATTTGAGCATGTCTTTTCTTATAGGTCAGAGGCTGGTTCAACACCCGGATCTTGCATCCCAGGTAAGAAAGTGTCTCCCTCTTCTGCTTCTGATTCAACCTAGGCCAATTCCCTGGAACCATCTCCTACTAGTTCTTGGGGACTAGAATAGTCTATGAGAGGAAAGGTCCTCTGAAGCTAGGTTAGTAGTATGACCTCACTCTTCCATTCTGTTTATGTCACCATAGGCCTCTCCATCTGGGCCCCATGTGGGTTCCCCACCTAAGAGCCCATGGAAAGCAGAGCCTGAGGAGGAGCAGGAAGAAGGGGAGGATGAAGACCCATGCTCAGAAGAGTGGAGGTGGAAGTATGAAGAAGAACAGAAGAAAGTCTCTCAGTTGGAACAGGAGCTAGTTCAAAAGACAGAAGAGTGTAAGGCACAGGCTGCAGCCTACTTGGGCCTGGAGAACCTGATTCGAGAGCAGGTGCAGGAGCTAGGGCTCCTTCTGTCCCAAGAGCCTAGAGCTGCGGGAGGGCAGGGTGCTAGACTCCGGCCTGGAGGAGATGGCATGGAGCAAGGCTGTCCCCTGGACCTGTTGGCTGAGCGTATACAAGAGCTAAAGAAGCAGCAGCAAGCAGCAGCCATAGTCAGCCAAAAGGCCACGGGGGTTGAGGAGTCACCCCCAGGAGAGATGCGGCATGAAGTCCACGGAAAGTCTCACTCAGAACAGGGCTCCCCCCAGAGCCCAGGGCCTGAGGCTCCCAGAAGGGCCGCAGGACAACTGACCACTGGAGGACAGACCCTTGTCTCCAGTCATACTGGCCAGCAGCCTGCTGATGAGAAAGAGAGGCCCCAGGCCTCAGGGGTTGAAACAACAGACACAGCAGCTGAACCGGTGGGCGCAGCAGCCATGAACCAGCTCCTGGCACAACTAAGGGAGGAGCTGGCTGCAGTGTGGCGAGAAAAGGATGCTGCTCGAGGGGCTTTGTCAAGACCAATCCTGGAGGGAGCCTTGGGGACTCCCCGGGCTGAGGCTGCTGCAGCTGCCTGGGAAAAAATGGAAGCCCGGTTGGAGCAGGTGCTGGTGAGGCTGGATCGGGCAAAGGCAGGCTTACAGGTGAAGCCTGAGGTTCCTGTCCAAGAGTCCAGGGCAGGAATCCCAAAGGCAGCCCCGGAGTGCAACAAAGAGCATGGTGAGGAGAAGAGGAGGGGCCCTGGAGCCCGAGGAGAACCTCTAGGGGCCCCTGGAGAACAGCTCCCAGGCGGAGGCTTGGCAACAGGACAGCTGGAGAAGGAGGTGTCAGCGCTGAGACGGAGCAACAATAACTTGCTGGAGGAGTTGGGGGAGCTGGGTCGAGAGCGGCAGCGACTGCAGGGGGAGCTGCAGTCTCTGAGCCAGCGGCTTCAAAGGGAGTTTGTGCCCAAGCCCGAGGCACAGGTCCAGCTGCAGCAGTTGCAGAAGAGTGTGGGGCTGCTGACCGAAGAACTGGCCACGGAGAAGGAGGCCACGGAGAAGTTGCGCAAGCGCCTGGCCTCCCAGAGCAGCAGCCTCCAGGGGCTGTGGGACTGCCTTCCCCCAGACGTGGTGGGCAAAGCCAGTGCCGGGGGCACAGCGGCAGAGCCCCTGGAGGAGCTGCATGCCTGCATCAGCACGCTGGTGGACAGGCACCGTGAGGCCCAGCAGGTGCTGGCCCAGCTGGAGGAAGAAAACCAGCGGCTGCAGGCATCTCTAGGCCCCGATGGGGAGCCAGGCCCCTTCTTACGGGCCCCAGCCTCCCCACAAGTGGCAGCCCTGGAGCAAGACCTCGGGAGACTAGAGGAAGAGCTTCGGCTGGTTCAGGCCACGATGAGCGGGAAGAGTCAGGAGATCACGAAGCTCAAGCAGCTGCTTTATCAAGCCACAGAGGAAGTGGCTGAGCTGAGAGCCCGGGAGGCTGCCACCCTACGACAGCACGAGAAAACTCGAAGTTCACTGGTGGCCCAGGCCCAGGCTTGGGGCCAGGAGCTAAAGGATGTGCTGGAAAAGTATAACACAGCCTGCAGGGAAATGGGGCGGCTTCGGGAGGCAATGGCCGAGGAGCGCCGCCGCAGTGGGGACCTGGCTGCCCTGGCCGCTGAGCAGGAGCGCCAAGCCAGGGAGCTCCGCAGTCGCTCTGAGCAGTTTGAGAAAACAGCTGAGCTGCTGAAAGAGAAGATGGAGCATCTCATCGAGGCTTGTAGGGACAAGGAGGCCAAGGTGAGCAGCTAGGATTGCTAAAGGTTGCTTTTGTGCTTAGCAGTTTGCTATCCTGAATCTCTCAACGTTTCGCTGGATTTTTGGTTGGATTTATGCCCTGAACAGAGGAGTACCCTGTGTGGGAGTGGAGGGGCTTGAGGTTGAGACTAGAGGTGAGAGAACAGAAGAGAGAAAATTAGTGCAGAAGCAGTGTGCTCAGGGCTACCCCATAGAACTGTGGCCATGGTTTACTAGCCAGGAGCTAACCGTGGGTCTCACTGTGAAGCCCAACCTGGCCTCAAACTCACAGTGACCCTCAGGCCTTATTTTTGAATGCTGGGGTCACAGATGAGTGTGCTACCATGCCTGGCAACGTTTTGATTCAGGGTATTAGCCTGAGAAGGGGCCAAACAGCACAACAGGGTGTTTGGTTTTACCGGAGTTTGGAGCTGATGCAAGGCCCAATGGGCTAAATAGACCCAGCCACCCCTGCTGTACTTCCCTTCCAGAGCTCTACTAGTAATGAGGACACCAGAGCAAGGGGAAAACTTGAAAATCATTCTTAGATATTGGAGTTAATTAATGCTTGCTTTAAAGTGAGTTGAGTCTACTAATTTCTATGAAATACCTTACAAATTCTAAACAACTTACAAATGAATTTAGTAGTTCTAGAACTGCCTGTGAAGTGAATTCAGGCATAAATGCGAATGCATGACCAAATTTAAAGCAATTAAAAATATATAAAGAACATGTTTTACCTAGTACAGAATACATACAAGCAGAAAGAATGTTATTCAGAAAATGAAACAGGTAGAGTGGGGTTAAAGAAAAAATTTTCTGTTCTACTGAAAAAGATACAACTAGGGTCACCCCGATAGCTCAGTGGACTAGAGTGCCTGCTTAGGCAGAGTGCAGCGGCTGGGGTTCGACCCCTGGCATGCTGTGCTGGCATCTGAGACAGCAATTGAGACTGGGCTTGGTGGTGCGCGCCTGTAACCAGCACTTGGGAGACTGAAAATAGGAGAATCCCTACAAGTACAATCTGTGTAGTGAGACCCTGTAGATCCTGTACTAAATACATAAAAAACAAAAAGTAGACAATGGCAAAAGAAAATATAGCATAGTAGTTAAGGGTAAAATTCTTGAAGTTTATGCTGAGAGCTGGGTGTAGTGGCTCACACATGTAATCCCAGTATTTAGGAGGCTGAGGTAGCTGGATTGCTATGAGTTTGAGGCCAGCCTGAGCTACATAGTTCAAGATCAGCCTGACCTACATAGCAAGACCCTGACTCAAAAAATATAAATAATATAAAATAAAATGAATCTTAGGCTGAGGGCACATCTCAGCAGTAGAGTGCTTGCCTAGCATATGAAGGCCCTGGATTTAGTCCCTAGCACTGCAAAAGACAACCAAAACAACTTTACTAGTTGTGTCTTAGGATCTTAGGAAAAGTTATTCAACATCTCCAATGAGATTAATAATAAGATAGTTGTGAGAATTACATTAGATATTAAATATACAACTATTTTAGATTATATTAGATATCAAGTATGCAAAAAATTTGGACATGGTAAGTGCTTGATAAAAAACTAGCTTCTGAAGACTGGTGTGGCAGCATGTGCCTAGACTCGCAGCACTGAGGAGGCCGAGGCAGGAGAACTAGTTCAAGGCCAGTTGAAGAAGTAGATGGCAGCTAGGAAATAGGCTGTGAAGTACATCCGGAGTAGCCTTGGCTATCTTGCCCTGAAAGCTGATGAGTAGAAATTCTTTTTTTTTTTTTGGTGGAACCGGGGATTGAACTCAGATCCTTGCATTTGCTGGTCAAGCGCTTATCCTACTGAGCCATCTCCCCAGCCCCTAGAAATTCTAAAATATCAAAGCTTTTTATTTTTTTAAAGTAGCTATTTTATTCCTACTGGCACCATTCATGCTGTTGCTGGTTATCATTAACTGCATCTGCGCCTCTGCCTCATAAGCCATCACGACTTGTCTCTCTCACCCTCAGTGGCCGATGGGCACAAGTGGGTTAGGATCCACTGCTGAGTTAAGAGCATAGACCGGTGGCGCAGACCTTTTGGAGGCTTTGGTGGTAAGAGCTGGCTGCAGCACGTGGGTCATAGGTCGCCACCACTGGCATCAAAGAGATCTTGACTCCAATCATAATTTTATCACTTAATATCATTATCACTTATTACCTGTGTTATTCTGACAAATTAGTAAATTAAGGCCCCTTATCTGCAAATGTGGATAATGATCTTTCCCTTAGAGAAGTCTTAAATTCTCAGAAGAAAGGCTATGTTGATTTTTTTTTTTTTTTTTTTTGTACTTTAGGGAAAGGTCTACAGGGTGTTCAGGGTCTCACTACTAGATCGCACTAGTAGTGATCTGCCTGCTTACAGCATCCCAGGAGCTGGGATTTCAGGTGCGCACCACCGTGCCCAGTCTCAATTGCTGTCTCAGAGCGCCCCGGGGGCAGGGCCTGCCCCTGCTTCCCTGCGCCTGCATGCGGGCACTTTAATCCCCTGAGCTACTTGGCCAGCCCTGGCTATGTTGTATATTAAGCGGGGCAATGTGTATAAAACTATCTGACTTGTATTAAATACTCAGTAAAAAAGAGCTGGGGGGGCTGGTGAGATGGCTCAGTGGTCTAAAGCACCTACTTAGAACAAGCTAAGCTAAGCAGGGCACAGGGACCGCAGTTCAATCCCCCAGCACCACA